GTTTGCGTGAGGCAATCCGAAAAAAACGCCCGGATTTGTGGAAAAACAATTCATGGCTTTTGCACCACGATAATGCACCTGCTCACACTTCGTTGCTTGTTCGTGAATTCTTGGCCAAAAACAATACTGTAACGATGCCCCAGCCTCCATATTCGCCAGACATGGCTCCGTGTGACTTTTTCCTATTTCCAAAAATAAAGAGAACCTTAAAGGGCCGTCGTTTTACAAGCATAGATGACATTAAAAGCGCATCGCTGAAAGAGCTAAAGGCTATCCCAAAAATCGAGTTTGAGAAGTGTTTCGATGATTGGAAGAAGCGCTGGCGTAAGTGCATAATATCGAATGGGGACTATTTTGAAGGCGACAACATTAATGTAGACGAATGAATAAATATTTTTTCCAAAATACGGAAATTCCCGTCATTTTTTGAACACACCTCGTACATCTCCATTTAGTAACCCATAAGTGACCTTCAGAGAGGAGCCATTTCAGCATCACTGACGTGCTGGGAAGACCCAGGAAGACTCAGCTAGCAATGAGCAGCTACAACATTGATATAATTGTTTATGTATTATACCCATGTGAGAAATATGAAGATTCTGGCCTTAATTTTGGGATGTTCAATCAAAATAGGAAGAAAACTGTTCATACACTCATAAATAAATTCAGAAGAAAACAGGCTCATTGTTGGAGAAAGGAAACCCAAATTCAGAATGCTAGATGTTGACTAAAGAGAAATTGAATGAAATTGGTGGTAGGCCTGGATTTTCCCAACGTAAATCCTTAGGTGCCATGCACAGGAGACCAAGGTTTAAAGTTTCGGATTTCAAGTTTGCTCTTTTTCTGTTACTATCTGAATGGTCTTTGTATGTGATTTTCTTGGCATGTAGGCTTGTTGACTGTGCTGTGGACCCAAACACATCCAGAAAGATTTGACCCAGGTAGATTTTTTTCTCTCCCACCAAAGTGGCTGAAAAATTTTCTGCAGGCTCTCAAATAACCTCTCTGTATTTTATCATAGACAAGAGATGGGAGGAAGAAATTCTCTGTGAACACTGAAATGAAGATAGTATCAACTTTTGAAGCTAAGGCTGACGAAATAAATGAACATTCAAAATGCAGGGGAATACTAACTACTAACACTATGGTACAAAGTTGAAAGTAATTATCTGTTATAGGGGTTGGTTAAGAAATTTCTTGCAGCTAACCACATGGTTCATCACTGTTCATCCAAGCCTACTGTTGGAATCACTTCCTTAGCCTCTTCAATGAAGTTCACATTTACACACTGTATTTGGGGTATCCATGTAATATCCTTCTATCTGTGCCTAGATTTCCCATGAAGTTCTCATATGATTTTGCAACCAACATATTTCATATATTTATATTAGATCAAAGCGTGCTGTGTTCCATACATGTATCATTTGTGGGTTAGTCTTAAAATAATGTGAAGAATTCTTCTTGTGCAGCTCCTCATTATGTCATTCTCATTTTTCTAATACTTCATTTGTGTGGAGTCCAAACTTTCTCCTCTGCACTTTATTCCTAGGCACTTGCAGTGCAGAAAATCATTGATTCAATATTTGAAATTCTCTTGAGTGTCTTCAGAGCTCTGTAGTGTGAGACTCATTCAAATGAAACCTGTATGGGGTTGTGTGTAGGCCGTTACAAATAATCCTTGTGGGTGCTGAGGCAGGCATCCCATTAATGCAGTAGTTGATGGATCTCTTCTTCAAAACACATCCTAGGGTCATGCTGGAACCACTTCACCGACACAGCCTTGACATCTGCATCTGGTATGAATCTTTGGTCCTTTGATGNGACGTGGATAAGTAAGCACCTGAAGATGGCATTATTATGCCGAAACATGTAGTGCTAGGGAGAGAAGGAGATAAATGAGTGTATGCACTGCAAGACGGATTAAATAAATCATGAACTTAAATCAGTGCAACAGGACGCTAAAATACAACCTTTGATGTTTTCCTGAGAGAGCCTAACATATGCAAGTCACATGGTGACAAGTCCAGGTTGTATGGTGCATGGTTCAGCACCTTCTAGTGCATGGAATGCAACATGTCCTGGACAGTGCAGGCCACATAGGGGTGGGTGTTGTGCAACACAGTGACATCCCTTGTAGCCGTGGTGGGATGCTTTCTCTTGACGGTGGCATGAAGATTACAGAGGGCATCAGAGTAGTGCTGCACAGTGATGCTGATGGTGAACTGAATGGCAGCGTGTTGATCCTGTTTGAACAGGCTCTGCACATAGCCACTGTTTCTCTTTGCTCTGATGCCCCCCCCCCACTGCACATGGTCAGTTGTTAGTGTGTTATGTATGGAGCTAGTGATTAACACCAACTGGCTGTTTTTGCTAGCAGCATTGCAAGCAAGTTTCATTTAAACAACACTTGTACTTAAACATGACAATGTAGTTACAGCAGTTATACCCAGAAAACATGAAGATCAATTAATATTTTTGAAATATATAACAAAATGTTCATCAATAATATGCATCCTGTTGTACATCTTAAACAAGGTACACAAAATCTATACAAAGGTTTGCAGTCTACACAACAATATTCTGTATTTAAAACAAAGTAGACACTATCGTATCAACATTTATGTTTATTGACACAACATGTTTCGACCCTTATACTGGGTCATCATCAGGCATACAATGATACCAGACTCAGTTGTTGAATTGCAAATATCAACACGGGGAGCAGTCCATACACATATCATCGTAAGAAAATCTAATATACATTAGTACTGTCGCGTGTTGCCTATGTAACACAACAAGTAAATTCACGCGGGTCTCGGATTTGGCAAATGTGTTTATTGGACCATCTCTTTTACATTTGCAACTTCACTATCACAGTTACTGCTTCTGCTGTAGTTGAAGCCAAACTGAAAACTGACTGGTCTCATCGAAGCTGGACTCTTATATAACGTGCACTCGGACTGTATAGAGCGCACCGTGTTCAAGGGTTCAGTTTCATCTGCTGGTAGTATTCGTTTCCATGGATAACCTTCCATTTCCTAGGAGGTGCATTTGTTGTTTCAGTGTTTCCTAGGCAACGCCCTGCTGGTATTCCGTTCCCAATGAAGTATACATGTTTATCACAGCCGTTGTCATGCAGCTGCCTCGAACAGTTCTTTGCTTAGGTTTGCTAGCGTTCTGATTCCAAGGCATTGCAGCGGGAACACTGGTCGTTGCCTAGGAAATCAACTCTGATCTCCTCAACTATTCTGACTTTCTGGCGGCACACCACAGCACCAAATAACAAGTTTAATAACATCAACTCACAAGCTTCTTATTATAATAATTAAAAAACTGTTACAGATCACTCCAAATAAACAACCTGTTGGGTGACATACAGAATAACGAGCATAAGCTCCACAAGACGATAGCAGGGTCAAGAACACATGACCTAACTTATGTGAGAAGATCCTGATACGCAGGTGCCCCACACTGTAGTCGCTTCTACCACCAGAAAATCGCATCAACACGTAGCAGTCACAAAGTCTTAAAGAGAGTGATTGCAAAATACTTTATTCTCAGTTTTATTACAATTTTAATTTTTATGTTTTAATCTTTAGTCTCTAATTTTTAAATTTTATTATCTGAATATTTAAAATTTTAACTGAAAGATTCAATTTATGCATTTAAAAACACTCAAGTGCACAATAAGGATCCTTATTGAAGAATTAGAAGCAATTTGTTAGATGCAATTCAACAACTGAGTCTGGTAGCATTGTATGCCGGATGATGACCCAGTATAAGGGTCGAAACATGTTGTGGCAATAAAAACAAATGTTGATATGATAGTGTCTACTTTGTTTTAAATACAGATTATTGTTTTGTAGACTGCATACCTTTGTATACATTTTGTGTACCTTGAAAATGTTCATCAATTTCCTGAAATTATCAAAGATAATGAGTAAATGTCTAAGTGACAAAATTTGACCTCAGTTGGGCTCTCTGTGGACTAAGTAAGACTCCCAAATGTATTGCTTCAGCAATGCTAATGTCAGTGCATTACTGTTGAGTTTTACCTGCCTGCTTGTATGTTAGTCTACCAAAACATTTTTAATGAATTACACCAAATAGAATAATGTGTGGTATTGAACACAGAAATATTCATGATGAAATTAGAAAATAGAGTCTTTTTCATACTGATTAAGCAATTTTGATTGACAATAAGTTGAAGTAATTTCATTGCTTAAAATTAGAACACCTGATCAGTTTAACCCATTGGCTCAGACTTGGAACATTCTTGTGTCCATCACATTCACCATTAAGTTAATTGTGTGATGCATTTTTGTACGTATCTGATATTTGATATTTCTGTGCAGAAAGCTCCTAGGTTTGACGAAAGATTGGCTAATTTTTGTCTTTTTAACTTTTCTCAGCATTCAATATGGGAGTGATAGATTATATATGTAATTAACTAGTCAATTTAAAAGAATCATATATATATATATATATAGTAAATACACTGACAGTGTAAAACGTGGACTCTTTTAGTCAGCATAATTTCTATAAATATTGTAAGGTATTAGCTCTGAATCTTTTCTAACATGAGCCCATGTAAAATCATTCAAGCAGAGGCACTGAACAATTTAAGAGAAGCAGCAATGAGTCTGACTTGTGTTTCAGAAGTACCTTGTTCATGTTTCAGCTAAGTCATGGATTAATGTGACAGGCATTTCATAATTGTCCTGTAAGTGAATACTGGATATGCCCTACAACTGCTTTCTGTTCCAGTTGTTTCAATTTATGCATATTTATTCATTTTTTCTTTCCGTTTGATGTTAAATAATCTCAACTAATGACAAGATATTGTAAAGTAATCTATGAGTCTGTCTCCAAGTTCATGAGATAAGAAAATTAATCTGTGTTTCACAGTGTAAGTGGCTGTCACATAAATATCAAACATTACAGGGTGTTTCATGACTTTAGGGCATAACTGCAGGAGGTGATTTCCTAGGTCTTTGTGATCAAAAAAGTTCATATAAACATGTGTCCGATTTTGGATGGTTACGGAGTTATGACTGTTTTAAACTCAGAATTGAAGGTAACGATTACTGACAATAAACGGAACAAAATAATAAACCAGCATAATACATGATACATTTAAAGTATGAATGTGAAGTTAACTTTGTGAAATTACCTTTAATTTGAATTGATTGGTGCTTAAAGCTGATTTTCGAAAATGCCACCGCCGGTTGCAACACAGGCTGCCGCTCGGTTGTGAACCGTGCGGGTAGCACGTAGCAGCTTCAGCTGGCTGTTTCGTATGTGGCCAGCGGCATCCAGAATGTGACCGAGCAAAGCATCTCGCGTTGCCACCTTCACATTGTAAACCAGTTCTTTCATCCATCCCCACACACAATAATCCAGTGGGCTTAAGCCTGGAGACCTGGCTGGCAGTTCTTTGCGTACTCTTATGTGGACTGCGGTGTACCATATGAACAGTGCCTCCTTCATTGACGCCTTCATTAACACCACGCTTGGCTGCAATACGAACGCCAGGAAGTCTACGGGTACCTCGCAATGCCTGGTAAACTCCAGTAAACACACTCTGGTCTGGTATTCTGCGATTCAGAAACCATTGCTGATATTCAGCTACGGCAAGAACTGAGTTACCGTCAGCTAAATCATATCTGCATACTCCTCAAATGCAAATGTAAATGGCATCATGAACGTAACAGACGCACCGAGATGAGAACTGTTCTGAACACCAGTAGCTGCCACACTAGCCGTGGCCAGACATACCAACCCACCACGCCTTAGGTACCTCTCAAGTGTCGAGAAAACGAGAACGCTCTGTCTGTAGCTGGCTAAAAATAGTGACCCGCCAGATGATAGACACAGTTCACACGAGGTCATGTACAGGAATCAAAAAACGGTCATAACTCCATAACCATCCAAAATCGGACACATGTTTATATGCACTTTTTTGATCACAAAGACCTAGGAAATCTCCTCCTGCAGTTATTCCCTAAAGTTGTGAAACACCCTGCATTTGTTCTCATGAGAAAGTATTTCTTTCTGTGCTGAGATTTACAAGGAAATACTATAAAATAATTCATCCAGCTATTACAGAACACTTATTCGGTTTATGTATTTTCCTCTTTTTCTGAATTGATATATACAAGGAAACTTTTTCTTTCAGACCTCACCAAAAAAGCTGATTGGTCAGCGTAGTGAGGGTGATGTGCTGTCTTTGGTAGGGGATCAGGCAGGTTTTGCAGATTTTGCTCAATTTGTCCAGGAGGAGGAAAGTTGTGTAGATGGTGGCCAACCCAGAAGACATGGTGCCTTTGAGGTTTACAGGAAACCTGTGTCTAGTAAGATAACATTTTTAGTGTATGCACATTATAGCCACTGCAGTCAATATATCATTTCTCTTCTTTCACATTATGCAGAAATTGAGATAGAAATATGTTGTAATTGTGCATGAATATAAATATGGGAATCTAGTAATCCAGAACTAATGTGTGATCTCCTGTGCCATAGTTGAGTTTGAGGCCATTGAGTTCATGGCAGTTTCTGCATGTCATTCACAACCCTCAGTCAGTACTTTGTCAGTATCCGAGTACCTGGCCTCCACTATAATGTAAACCCCTCATTTTGATGTGGATCCTGTATCTGCCTCATTCAGCATCAGTAGTGGATTTCTTCCACAAGAATAAAAAATATATGTTTCACATGTCAGCAGTAATGGGGTGATAGCTGTAGAACCATGATGTGAGCAGATCCAGTAATGCCTCAATGAATGAATGCATAAGGGATGGGCCATTATAATCTAGCCCTTGCACTGCGACCTTCAATGATCTATTTATCCAGTGATGAAACTTAACAAAAATCTTCATCAGATATATATTGACACATGGCTTAGTGACTATAGATGGTGTTTGGATTGGTAATTTGAGCCACTGAATGCTTACCGATCATTACTACAAGTAATTAAAGTGCTATTGGTAATTCACTGTCAGTCACTCATGGAACTGAGCCCTCCTTGAGAAGTGACCAATTGTGCAGCCACTAAAGAATTTCCCAACATTTTATGGAACTGAAAGGTTCATTACTGTGTTCACAAGAGCCCTCCACTGGTGCCTCTTCTGAGCCAGATCAGTTCCATCCTATCTCTCTAAGATCCATTTTAATATTGTCCACCCACCTATGTCTTGGTCTTTCCTTGTGGCTTTCCCACCAATATCCTATATGCATTCCTCTTCCCCATTCATGTTACATGCCCTGCCCATCGCATCCTTCTTGACTTGATCATTCTAATAATACTTGGGAAAGAATGCAAGTTGCAGTTTTCTCCAACCTCCTGTCACTTCATTTCTCTTCAATCCAAACACCCTCACTCTGTGTTCCTCCCTTACTGTCAGAGACCAAGTTTCACACCCATACAGAACCACAGGCAAAATTATAGTTTGTTATATTCTAATTTTTATGTTTCTAGACAGCAGATGAAAAGACAAAAGGTTCTGGACTGAATGGTGTAAGCATTACCTGAGTTCAGTCTTTTCTACATTTCCTCCTGAATCGGGTTTTGATTTGTTATAGTCGTTCCCAAATATCTGAACTGTGCACATTTTCAAAACGTCTATTAGCTGTCTTTATGTCATGATTTTGCCCTGCATTTTGGTGACAAGACACAAACATATTCTTAGTTTTCTGTGTGTTTACTTCTCGACCAACCTCCTTACTAGCTTCAATTATAGTTTCTGTGTTTCTCTTTATGGTATCTATTTTATCACCCAGTAGATTCACATCATCGGCATAGACCAACAGTTGATGTGTCCCATTTAATTTCAGTCCCACCTGGTTTTGCTGGACCTTCCTAATGCCATATTCTAAAGCAAAGTTGAAAAGCAGTGGCGATAAAACATCTCCTTGTTTTAGACCATTCTGAATAGGAAAATTACCAGACAAATGTTTACCACACATTTCATTTTAACACATTTTAATCAGCCTGACCCGTTTCATGGGTATCCCATACTCTAACAGAATATTGTCCAGTACTTCCCTCCTAACTGGATCATAGGCTTTCTTGAAGTCTAAGAATAGCTGATGCACAGTCTCATTATTGGTAATTCACACACTGTAGAATTCACTACAACATGCACTAAGTCTCCTCAGTCTGCTGTATCTTCACCTGTTGTCACCTGGTAATCATCATTCTGGTACACAAGTAACAGGATAAGACAGTCATCAAAATTGATCAGAATTTTTGTCAGTAACTTATTTTATGTACATATGACTTAATAGCATTCTTTACACAAATTCATGTGCATCACGAGCAAGTAAAATTAACCTTAGTTCTTGCAACTAACACAAAATGAGTTTTGGCTGAGAATGACATTATATAGCTTGACAAGTATTAAAATGTTATCATAGTATCAGTATCAATGCCATAAAATGGTGTAGCAGTTACCTACAACCATGATATGTACACAACTCAATAAGAAAACATTCAAATAGTCCACACAGTAGTCATTATGTACAATAAAATAACATTAAGTAAACCATATTAACAAGCGGCCTCCGTAGTCTAGAGGTAACGTTCCCACCTCATGACTCGTAGTACGTGGGTTCAAATACCCGGCAGAGGTCGTCGAATTTTTAAGGGCGGAAAAATTCAGGGAACAAGTCCTCCAGGAGGGACTTTAAGCCGTGGGTCTGGTGTCGTAGCTTTACGGCACGTAAAAGAACCTCATATCTCCAAAGGAGGTCACTGAGCCAAATTAACGGACGTTTCCCGCCCAACAGCAGTCTCTAATACCTCTGGTAGATGGGGGAAGCATTATAGATACCTCTCAGCTAGTAGAGCCGGTCTCGCTGGCTGGGCGGGACTGATGGTAAGCACCAGTACTGGTAGGATATAGAGACTGGTAGAAATCATAGAGGGAAGCACAGTGGACCAATACAGGTCTCAGTGCATGGGGAAACCCACCCTCTCCAATAACTAACTAAACCATATTAACACATGGAGAATGAAAAGTTATATTTAAATCGAAGAAAATATTCAGTATGTACATACAACAAAGCTATCTGTAAGAGACAATATTAACTTTATAGATATCTCTGGCAAGAAGGAATGAATTACATGATTAAGGCTATAGTCTTCTGGTTTGTGACACCATGTAGTCTTACAGGCAGTTACCACTGATTTGGAGTTACCTGTTGTCTCTAGTTTCTCTGTCATAACAATGGTGTCAGAAGCTTCCTCCAAAACATTGGTTACTGCCTATGAGATCACATAGTACCACACCCTAAAAGACATCCAACTTTTCACCACCATGAAAATCTCAAATCTCATGTATTTATACAGGGTTAGCCTAAAAGAAATAGACAGTTTAAATGACTCATGTTCGTGAAACTTACACACGCAGGTCTAAAAAGTCGACAAGACGTGCAAGTTTAGAACTTCAAGTTCCACAAATGACTGTGTGGAATATCTTGCGTAAACGCATATGAATGTTCTCTTACCAGTTGCAATTATTGCCGAACATCACTGAAAACGACAAAATCCTCCGTCACTCATTCTGTATGGACACGCAGCAGTGGAATGAAGGAAGTAATGATTTCCTTAACACATAAAGGACCGGTCGCATGATATCATGCTTTTCACCTTTAAACGTGGCAGACCGGTCGCATGATATCATGATTTTAGGACACGTAATGTTGCAACACACTATACCTTGCTCTCTTGCCACACAGCTGCATGACTGCTGGGTATTAAGACTCCGGAATGTCTGCTTAGTATTCAGTAACATGACCTCGCTGTTATCTTAACCCATTCCAAAGGAATTGTCGGTCTTCAAGCTGTTTGTAACAGCCAGTAAGTTAGTAGTGGAATATGGATCAAGGATGAATTCTTCTCCGATGAGCTAGCTTACGTGCCTTGTGAGATGCGTAGTTATGGTGAGTCAGACAGTGGCAGTGACAGGGGACAACAAAGAATTGTGGCCACAGAGAGTAAAAGTGACAGTAGCTCCGACGAAAATGCAGGTAGTAAGATTGCAGGGACAGCAAAAAATCTAAAAAAAAATCACAAAAATTTAAACCCTGATTCAAAATTGAAATACAAAGCATTTCTGATGAATGTGGCAAAGGCCTGGGCTGCAGATCAGATGGTGGCTGCAGAACCAGAGTCAGACACAGACTTAGTGTGACTGGGCCCATCAACTCCCACCCCACACAGGCCTCATGTGGACCCCCCAGGGCGACTCTCGGGTGATATGCGGAAACATACCCTCGTGAAAATTGTGAAGAGTGAACATTCCAAGGGGAAGCATCCTTCTAGGCAATGCCATGTTTGCACAGTTGAAAAAAAGAGGAGTATGACTGTCTACGTTGCAAGATCTGTGTAATGTCACTTCACAAAGGGGAATGTTTCCAGAAATATCACACTCTGAAGCACTTCTAGGAGCACTGGTAAGTGTTCTCCAAAAATTTTAGTTCATAAAATTAATTAGGAGATTTTATATTAATTTTTAAAGTGAACAGTGCACAAGTTAGGATAGTAGGTTTAATAATGCTAGTCCCCAGGGTGATTTAAATATTTAAATTGCTGGTCCGCGATGTGTTAACTGGCTAGTTTTTGGTGACGAATCAATGTTCCGCATTAGTGGTACGATGAACAAACACAACGTTCGTATATGGGGAACTGAAAACCCAAGAGCTGTAGTAGAGCATATGAGGGATTCACCTAAAGTGCACGTTTTTTGTGCTGTATCCCATAAAAAGGTAAAATAAAAATGTAAAATTCAGGGCGTACTTTTCAAACCATATAAGTATCTTGGCTATGCTATTAAATCTCTTCTTTCTCTAAAACTTTGAAAGTGTCTATTTCGTTTTGGCTAACTCTGTATAACT